TGGTCTGTCTATGTACATACATGTACATAGGAATATATATATATATATATATATATATATTATTATATATTTATATATACACATATATATACATATTATATATATATATGTTCTTAATGTATAGGGGGCGGTGAGCGTTGTTGTGTTTTTTGTTTGTTCGTTTGTCTCGATGACTCACTTTGGCTTCCTGTTCGTTTGTTTGTTTATTTAGCTGCTTTTTATTTGTTCGTTTGCTTGTTTGTTTTTCATTTGTTTGTGTTTGTCTGTTTGCTCGTTTACTCTTTATTTATTCATTTGAGTGTTTGTTTGTTTGTTTATTTGTTTGTTTGTTTATTGGGTGTTTGTTTATTTAGTTGTTTCTGTTTATTTATTTGTTTATTTGTTTGTTCCTCTGTACCCCTCTTGTGGTTTTCTTCTTTTTCTCTCGCACGTCTTTAATTATTAATTAACAACCGACTTGTAGATTTAATACAATTAAATATATCAAACTAATAAATATTCTAACAACCAGTAAAAAGGATATATATATGCATATGTATATACATATATATATGTGCATATATGTATGTATATATTATATAAGTACATAAAAAGATATACATATATATACACATAAATATATATATATATGTATGCATGCATCTATACGTATAAATATAGGCATATATATAATACAAATTAATAGCAGAGACAACACAAACAGTTCAGTGATTGCAACAAAAGATAAAAGAGGGAGATTAAAAGAGAAGGAAGAAGCAAATAAAAGAACAAAATATAAAGATGCAAATAAACGTAAAAGAATATAATGTACAGACGCCCAAGAAAGCAAATATCAAATAAAGATACAAACAAACAAGCGAAGAAACAAAGACAGAAAGAAACAGACAAACAAATTAAAACAGCAAACAGTTGTCGCTACAAAAAAGAGGGGGCATCATACAATCTATATATATATATATATATACATAATATATACAAATAAATAAATGTTCAAAATAAATACATATATATAAATATATGTAAA